TCCTGCTGACAGCTCTAATGGACTAAGATAAGTCTCTTCATACCCTTCATGTACATATTTGTCAGCAGAAATGAGAGTTTGTCTTAAAACGAACTGAGAATAAGAACTTCAGGGTAATTAAATCTGAAGTCACTGCACAACGACTTATTAAGATTTATTACTGTTCTTAGATCTTGAACTGTTGAAGCCCTTCAACATAGCATATAAAAAAAAGCCTGTTTCTTTCAAGTATTATATTGTTATAAATACTGGAGTTAGATGACAAACATTCTAGATGCCATCAACTTTGTAAATAGTAAACCAAACCATTTAGAAAAGAATGTATGTACTGTAGTCCAATGTATTTCTCTTATGCTATTTGTAATCTATGCCATTATAAAATTAAAAATGCTGTATGTATATGTCCCTTTCTTGGCTTCTCTGCAGGAGTGCAAATTTCAGAGTACATAAGGCTTTTCCCGGCAGCAGTCATTAGAGGTATGGGATCATCTTTCCCCCGCAGATACAACTAATCATTTCTACATGGTCAAAAACTTTTCTCCTTTCTTCTTTACTACAGTACTGAGGTTCTGACTTAATTCTAGCAAGCTGTTTTTAATACTTCAGAGGCTGAAAAATGATAACCTCATCTTGCATAATGGTCTTGTGCCACATTCTGAATGAAGCTACACCTACCGCTGCAAGCTACAGTTTTGCTTCAGGCTCCATTCTTCAACAGCATTTTTGAGTCCTTCCAGTGGTACACAGTAACATAGTTCCAACCTTTCCTGGAAGGAAACCGCTACTTTGGAAATGAAAGTAAGTGGTAAAAGTCTCAATATAGATTTTCTTGGATGGAAGTCAACAAAACATGGAATTCGTTGTAGTGCAGTGACACATGAAATCAAATCCAAGTTTCTCAAGTTGGCAGCACTGTATAACTAGCATGTTAAGCCTCTGTGAAGGGTGTGCCTTACAGCATTCTTTGGTTATCCTACTCAAAGCAGAAGCTGTCCTGATCAGCTGCAGAGTTTTGATTTGTATGTAATTATGTAAATGACGTTGAAATAGACAGAATAGTAAAGACAAAATACATCTCTTGCATCTGATTTGGCATCAGGGTGGTTCGGGCGGCGGGTGCGAGGAAACCACAAAGGAAATTTTAAGTTTGTACAAGGCTACAGTAAGGTCAGAGGAAAAATAGCAAATATTAAAACTACAAAACTGTTCTTTGGGAAAACAAATGCAGTTTGCCAAAGATAGTGTCATCTCAAAGTGATTATGTAATGATTTAAACTTGCCAACATTTCCCTTACCATGATGAATTTCATAATCTCCAGTTCCTTTTCCTTTGAAGACTGCTAAACAAGGCTGATAGACATATAGTTTGTTGCAGATCATTGGTGAGGAAAGACAGTCAAACTTGCCAACCTATTTAACAGACAGTGCCATTTTAATTAAGACATTCTAATTTATATAGATTAACATATTTTGAAATGCAGCAAGAGTTAGGATAGATTCGCTTAAAAAGAGGTAAAAGTATGGAAAAGTGGTAACCTTTTTATAAACAACAGAGATCTTAAGACAATCTTGTAACTATGATTTTCAAGGAAAACGACTAGCACAGCTATATTAGGTTTGCTAATTTTTGATTTAAATGCCAAAACAGGGAATAAAACCTTAAAGGATCCTTTTTTTTTTCCCCCTCTCTAAACAAAATAGCAAGAAAGCTAAAAAAGACACCATTTTTTTAAAATACATACCTCATAAAACAACACAATTCATCAGTCTTTAGTACAAAGTTTGAATTTGGTTTCTTTTTATTAAGAAAATTTTCAAGATAATTATAGGGGTTTCCGAGTAATTAAAATACAGTTTTATATACATCAATTTGATGTTGAAGTGTTAACTTTTAATTGTTAACCGAATGGGATCTGCAGCAACATTTCCCATGAGAGAGCAGATTTAAAAGATAATCTTTCCTAACTACTTTTAAATTATTCAAACTGTATGGGAAACTTCATTGCTTGCTTTAAAGTAAAAACTTTACTACAGGTCTACCAGATGATAGTATATCTCTTTCAGTACCAGAGGTGGCAGGTGGTAATAACAACTAATAATAATGAAAAACATACTGACTTGTTCTCTGAATGTAAATGGTATTTAACACTAGATGAATGAGCAGTCTTACCTGAATATGTTCATCTTTAAGTAAAAATTTAAGTTTCTTAAATTCCTGTACATTTGATTTATCACTCTCCCCAAACTGGAAGAAAAGCAGCCATCGATGGTGAGCCAGACGGTCCTATAAATGAAGAAAAAAAAAAAAAACAAAAACCCAAGCCCACAACAAAAACACGGAGAAAAAAAAAATTATTCCCAGCTTACACCAACTTGTAAATTCCTTTTATGTTTTATAAAGGCAAATGCCCAATTATTCATCTGAACTCTGAGTGCCCTCCTCCACTCAACAAATTCTTTCATGTAGTCCTTCCACTAAACTTCATTTTACTGCATCATAAGCATGAAAGAGGAAAAAATCTGAAAACAAGCTGGCTACATGCTACCCTCTATACTTTTTGTTTCCATGTGCATTTCCTATTGTAGATCAAGCTGCTAAGTGCTACTAAAAGTGTGAAAATACGTTTCCTCTTTTTTTTTTCCTCCAAGACATGAGTAACTGTTACGGCTTCTAATTTCAGTTCATACATAACTTATCATGGATTAACAAGTATTTTTTTCTTTCTTACATTACTGACAAAATACATTTAAAATAAAATTCTCTACAATGTAGTATATTTAAAAAATAACTAGAAAGTTACAATTGCAGAGTGAGTTGCAGAGTAAGTTGCAATGGCAATTTCTGCAGTTTTCTACTTGCCTATTAAATACATGCCCACCCCTTACTTTCGTTGTTTTGCTAAACAAGAGTAAATGTAGACAAACAGTGTTAAATAATTTTGGCTACAGAGGAGGGGGAAAAAAAAGTCATTTTCATTACATAAATACTAGGTTGTTGTATCAACTGGATTTGAAAAATGTAAAAAGTAATGATAAAAAATATAAAA